CTGAGGAGTCACACACACATACATTAAATATATTTAAAGGTTTGTTTTGATACATTCACCAAAAACAAAGTACTGACATCTTTAAATAGTTTCTCCCCTCCCTTTGCTCTTCATGCTAAGTCACTCTACTTTAGCGTGCTCCACTTGAAACTCTCTTTAAAATATTTTTTTTTGTTTCTGTCTTACCATTACAGAGACGCAGCTTTTGCTTTCATGCTCCCTCTTTCTAGCAGTCACTCCCCTCAGTTCAGAGCTTTTTCACATTCGCACAAAGTTTGTCGCGACGGCACGAATCCACACTCAGCGTTTTTGCGTCAAAGCCCCACTAATGAAACTGACTGAATCCTGCACAGTAATTGTAAAAGATTTAAGTCATTTATGTTCCACGTACATCTCAGTTTAACAGTGACACAAAAACTACGTCGTGGCAGTTTAACTCCACAGTTTGACTCTGCAGCTGTGAGGCTTTAACTCGACTCATGTGTCGAAGATGAAAACGGAAAGATTCAATGTCCAAACTTACAGAATATTGGTTAGGAGATTTAATTAAAGATGCAAATTCCATAACTGAAGATTGCACAATAGATCTGGTTCACACGGTCAAAAAAACCCCAAGGCTCCACCCCAAACACCTTGAACCAAATGTAGGACAAAAATGGCCTGAAACAAACTACCGTATTTTCCGGGCTATTAAACACTCTGGATTATAAGACGCACTGTCATTAAATGGTCTATTTTCGAACTTTTTTCACAAATAAACGCGTGGGACTTTAAAGGAAACCCAACAGTGTGATGGGTGAGTGGTTTTGTTTGTTTGTTCGTTCACGGTGACTCTGGGCTTTGTTCAGTTGTGGCGTGTAGGGAGGGTGTGTCTGGGACCAACGGATTGTCGGCGTGTTCGCAGTGACTCAGTTGTTCAGTCGTGTCTAGAAGCGGCACGTCGCGCTCGTGGCTTTTTCGGTTCGTTCCTCCGTTCCGTTCCTCGTCGGCGTGGAGTGATGAGTGTGTCTGTGGGTGTGTTTCGCTGTGCGGTCGCTGTCTGCTCCGTGTGTGTTTGCGTGCGCCCGAGTGGATTCGTGTATAAGACGCTCTGGATTTGTTTTTTGATGCGGTTATTCGCTTTAGAGCGCGTCTAATAGCCCAGAAAATACGGTATATTTACACCATGATCTTCCCTTAACAGACCACTGGCACCATTATCTAAACTGTGTCATATTTCTGTCTAACTGGTGTCTACTGGTCTTCATAGTCTCACCACATTTACTTTATAAACCTCCTCCTCCGGAAGCAGAGTGAAAGGGGCTTGAACCCTCAAAGATCACACTGTGTTGACGTTACTATTATTAGTTTGTACAACCATAAACGAAAACAAAAAAAATCCCTCAATTTTTCATTCTCATTACTGTTTATTTTGTATCAAAAACGCTAAACTTTGTGCCTACGATAACATAATTATCAGTTTGTACGACCATAAACGAAAATATGTTTCTGCATGTGTGTGTATGTGTGTGATACATATGTGTATATGTACTGGATATTTATGATGTGTATATGTATGCATGTATGTATGTATGAGTATGTATGTATGTATATGTATGTATGTATGTATGTATGTATATGTATGTATGTATGTATGTATGTATGTGATATGTTTTTGTATATATTTTTGCAAATGACAGGTAAGCACTCCAAAGGTGATATTAAAAAACAAACAAACTTCATCCTACTCCTTTTGAGCACCAAGTCCCAAATATACATATCAGTATTTTTGTTATTGTTTTTGAATTTTGTTGTACCTGTCTCAAACAAATAAATAAATGAATGAATGAATGAACTTTTCACGTCCCCCTGAGCCGTATTATTGACGGTAAATAAACTTCTCCTGCTTCAGACGTCCAGTTGGTCTCCAGACTTTTACTTCCACTCTTTCTTGGACAAACTGAAACCTTCGACAACACACATCTCATCAGGTTTGTCCGGCTGCTGTGATCAGTTTTGTGACATGTTTTTGTAGATTTATGGAGAATTGTCGTGTGGGAGCATGGGGGACAAGAATTAGAAAAGGGCCCTGAAGAGATCGCTAAATTTCTCAAACCTGCGTGGATGAACGTCGCATGGAACAACGTAAGAACATGGAAACAGAGCATGAGACTCACACTGTGTCAACATTTATGAACAGGGACACACTTGAGGTTTTGTTCGGTGTCGTGATTCAGGTGAGGATTAGAGAAACGGCTCGGATTATGATTCGGTGCATGTTCGCTGCTGTTTCCTAGCAACCGCGCTGTAAACAAGAGCCAAAACATGTCCGATTTACTCTGCGCTGCAAAAAGCCAGGCCAAAATGTTAGACAGAAACACTTAAATCTACCAGAAAATGACTTAAAAGTAGAGAAATGATGTGTCCATGCAGCGAGATCATTTTACTGACGAGTTCTCTTCAAATAAACGACATCGAGACTAGAATGAAGCGTCGGTGCTCAGTGTTCATGGGCTGGAAATCATTTTATAGATGCTCAGTTTGAGATAAACAGACTTAAAACCAGTTTGTGATCAGTGTTCGTGGCCTGATAATAAGTTCAAAGTTGCTAAATTCTAAATATAAGTACTTGAAATCAGTTTTACATGAGAGTAGTTAGTCTGGTCATACTGATCATAAACTGACTTCCAGCCCATGAAACTCTGAGCACAAACTGATTCATTACAGAGAATCATTTGCTCAACTTTTTAAAACATTTTTGAAAATCAATCTGTACCTAGTATCATTTTTTTAAAGCTCCGTGAGAAATGTCATGAAATTCTCTTGATGTTTTCTGGGTCCACCGCAGGGGTGTGCAAAAATATCGGAATATCGATATATCGTATCGTTTAATGTGATGATACGGTATCAATATCGTGGGCTGCTGTATCGAGTATTTTTACGTGGTTTACTAAATTATTTGTTACAGTGCTACAGTTTTGTTGCTTGTGGAGTGAAAGGAAACTCATTTATGCGACACATTTGACATTTTGACTCTGTTTTGAGGATTAAAATGTTTGTGTTTCATATGAACTTTGCACAAGAAGTGGTTTAACAAACACTTTTAGCATCACAGCCACGATTTAGCCTTTATTTTTTATTGAACTGTATCGTATCGATTTGAAATATATCATATCGAATCGAAAGTGCCCTGTATCAAGATATGTATCGTATCGTGCCTATGTATCGAGGTATGTATCGTATCGTGGCTGTGTATCGAGGTATGTATCGTATCGTGGCCTGTGTATCGAGGTATGTATCGTATCGACAACTTCTTCATGATACTCAGCCCTAGTCCACCGAGACTCTGAAATTTTGTGTCTGCAGAAGTCTTAAATCTGAGCTGAAACATCAGTTTTTCTTTAATAACATCAAAAATAATTAATTTAGCCCAATAGTGTCAGTGGAAGTTGAATATAAATCTGGACGTTTTGGATCATTTGGTTCAGTTTTATGTTTCTATCATGATTAGTTTCAGAGATGTGTCAAAAGTGTCATTTCTTTGGGACTTCAAGGACCTTGAATACCGTATTTTTCCGGGCTATTAGTCGCGCTCTTAAGCCTCCATCAAAAAAACGACTGCGCGCCACAATCCAGACGCCCCATACACGAATCCACAACTTCAGTAAACTACAAAGCCGCAAACACACACGGAGCAGACAGCGACCGCACAGCAAACACACACCCACAGACACACTCATCACTCCACACGACGAGGAACGGAACGGAGGAACGAACAAAGCCACGAACGCGACGTGCCGCTTCTAGACACGACTGAACAACTGAGTCACTGCGAACAGACAGCGACCACACAGTCGAACACACCCACAGACCCACACACTCCACATCTCATCACAGGGAGGTGTTGGCCCAGACCATGGGAGGAAGCCTCGGAAATGGTTCGTTTTACAAATGGGTTATTAGAATTTTGGAACTTTAAGTGGACACTGTTCAGTTAAAAGGGGATTAACGAAAATAATTAAGAGCACACAGTAAGGAAAGGAAATTGAGTTTCCCCGTAAGTTGGTGTGAACCCAGGGGGAGCCCTCCTGGGTGTATAAGTAGAGGCGTTTAATCTAGGGAGGTCACCTCATGCAGCCACGATTTTCTTTTGTTGCGTTTTTCTGTTGCTTTGTTTAGTTAAGCACACTTTTTGTAAATATGTATATTATTTTGCCCACGACTTGGAAGACATAAAGAATTTGGTTTGGTGAGGACAACTTTGCACTGGACTCTCATTTTGACCACTGGCCAGCTTCCCCACAACGCCGACAATCCGTTGGTCCCAGACACACCCTCCCTACACGCCACAACTGAACAAAAGCCCAGAGTCACCGTGAACGAACAAACAAACAAAACCACTCACCATCACACTGTTGGGTTTCATTTAAAGTCCCACGCGGTTTATTTGTGAAAAAAGTTAGAAAATAAACCATTTAATGACAGAGCGTCTTATAATCCAGAGTGTTTAATAGCCCGGAAATTACGGTAGTTTGTTTCGTCCATTTTTGTCCTACATTTGGTTCAAGGTGTTTGGGGTGGAGCCTTGGAGTTTTTTTGACCGTGTGAACCAGATCTATTGTGCAATCTTCAGTTATGGAATTTGCATCTTTAATTAAATCTTATAACCAATATTCTGTAAGTTTCTGGTTCAGTTTCTGGTCCTTTTAGTCCTGGTTTAGTCCTGGTTGTCCTTGTTTAGTCTGGTTAGTCCTGGTTTAGTTGGTAGTTTAGACCTGGTTTAGCCTGGTTTAGTCTGGTAGTTTAGTTTTCCTGTTTAGTTGGTTAGTCCTGGAGTCCTGGTTCAGTCCTGTTTTCCTGGTTTAGTTCCTGGTTTAGTCCTGGTTTAGTCTTTCTAGTTAGTCCTGGTTTAGTCCTGGTTTAGTCCTGGTTTCAGTCCTGGTTTAGACCTGGTTTAGTCCTGGTTTTAGTCCTGTTTAGTCCTGGTTCAGTCCTTTTAGACCTGGTTTAGTCCTGGTTTA